AAAGAGGTTAAGTCAAGGTAGGGTAGGGAGTGCCTTTTTCAAACGAATGATGACATCCATTCAACGCATGTCGTCTGGCCTTTTTCAACATTTGTTTCACCATTAAATTTGTACTTGTATACATAAAGAGTTTTTCTAAAAGGGTTGTTTGTATATGAATACATTGTATTGAACTACAATTTTAAAATATTCTTAATTTTAATAATAGACTATATATCTTTTAAAACAAATGTAATAGAATTAGTTAAATTATTTAAATATGAAATATAAATATGTATATTTCATTTATCAGTTTTATTTTATTTTTTAAACATTACTTAAGGAAAATTTTTGACAATGTCAGCAGAGAATAGCTATTTCATTTCTTTGATTAAGTAAATATTTATTTTTTATAAATCTAGTAATAGAGTTTCTCATGTATGCACAAAGAACATGGGTCATTTAATGACCTACATATTCTAGCTTTTCTTATTAAATTCTATTTCACAGTAGGCATTTTATTGATTTCTTTTAAGTGCCAGAAATATTTCAATAGGGACATCTGATTTCGGTATTTATTTATCCTAAAAGAACTTTGATGTTGGTTAAACCATTTTTTGAACTTGTGTCTTGTACATCCTATGTAGACTTTTACGTTGTCTGGATCCTCAATAGACGAGATATTGCATTGGTATACTAATGACTCTGGGTGACATTTATTATTAAGAGGACAGTTATAAAGATTTCTGCAGTTACATAATTTTTGTTTATCTTCATCTATTTTTATTATTATACTGTTCAAATTTCTTTGGTCTTGGTCTCAGTGTTTAATCAAGATATTAGCATTATGTTCCTTAATAATTTTTTCTAAGTTTTCGGTCCAGCTGTAACTTATTTTTAGGGTATTTTTATTGAAAATAGTACTGAGTTTACTATCTTTAGGAAAATGTTTAACAATTAATGCAAGGAATTTTTGTCCTAATTTGTTCTTTACCTTTTGGTTGTATGGGGCTGTATACCAAATTATTTTTCTATGCTTTCCATTTTTTATGTAAGTTAGTTTTGGGGTTTTGTAGCCACTGTCTTTTAGAGCTTTATTATAGAAATTAATATGTTCATAGAAAATCTTCTCATTTACAGAATTTGTACTTATTTCTCTTTTCGATAGATAAAGGTATATGCTTAATTATAGATGGAGGATGATTAGATTTAGGGTGTATATACAAAGGATTAATATTGGTTTTTTTTATAATGTATGTATACATTTTTCATTAAATCTAATATTATATCAAGGAAGTTCACCTTTTTCAATTTAGTGCTTACAGTAATTTTGAAGTTCAGGCTTTTAAATTCTCTATATAATATCTTTCTAATTTTATCGATTTTAAAGTTCATAGAGTTCTTTATAACCATAAATCCATCATCTCTGTATAATCCAATGTCAGTTATATTAATTTCATGATATGCTGTGAGATTGTATAATATAAAAAGACTTATAAAGTCAGAAGAATCAGCTGTCTAGTGATCCCATTGTGATGTCAAAGTGGTCGTAAGAATTTTTTATCCATGGCTCACCTTTGTGTATTAGTACAGATTTTTTCACAATTATAATAATGCTCTTTCCTTTTTCTTTTCCGTTACATTCATGTACTTGGTAGCAAAGTCCAATGCATTCATGAACAATTCTTTTGATATTGATTGATAGTAATTTTCAATATCAAACTGCATTAGTGTACAGTTTGTTTTATCTTTGATTTCAGTAAAGCCGTTTGTTACTTCTTTGGTATTAATCCAAAGATTCAATCCTGTTTTCTTTTATTTGTTGATTAATCCTATCAAGGATTTTTTTTAATTATTTTGCTTATCTCAGGTTTTGTTGGGTTTATTATTCTTGTAGTTGGATTAGCTTCAAAATCTGGTTTGTGGTCCTTTATAGTAATATAGCACTCCTTTTTTGTTAAGTTTACCTATCACTAATCTTCAATTTATGTGATTTTTTTTTTTACTGCTAATGTTAATGTTTTCCAGCATGCTGTGGTAATTATTATTTGCCTTTTTATAGTTCTTATGTAAATCCTTATTTATTAGATTGTTGTAGTCCTTTTAAATAAGTAAATTTATAATATTTATGCTCTACAGATTTGCATTGAGCACCGTTTTGTAAAAAAATATTAATAATAACACCGGATTATTATATATCATACTGTTCTTTCTCATATATATATATATATATATATATATATATATATAAAATCTTAGAATTTAATGTAAATTACCTTTATAGTAAGGGATTAAAAAAAAAAAAAAAAAAAAAGGATTATTTTTTTTTTTAATCCCTTACTATAAAGTTAACCAGAAAAAAAAAGCTTAGACACAAGCGTCTATCTTTTTAAATTTGGATTTTTAATGTAACTATAATAACAAAAACATTTCGATTTCATTTTTGCCTTGATAAAGTCGGGAGACAAAACACGTCGGCAAAATCTAAGATTTTTTTTCCAATTGTCATTTGTTACCAATCTGTCTTGTACACAGAATTCATCTGGGAATTTAACTATATATTCCCCATACACATCAAGGATCACCAATATGGTACTACAAAATTCTGTTCCTTTATACTTGTCACATTTCTCTTTTGTGTTCTATAAATTGGAATAAAACTTATTTTTAAAACTAATTTCTTTTACTTGGCCTAAAATAGGCATGTATCTGCCTTTGTTGATCAGAAAAGACAAAAAGTTATATTAAACTGATTTAAAGTGTTCTTTGCAAGTTGTGAGACAGAAGTTACAGAATTCAAATGTTCTGTTAACTTTTGAGACAAAGTTTGAAGTCCACATTCTCATGGATTAAAACAGATTGATAATTATATAGAGTTCTGTTGAACAAACAAATATTACATAATGATTATTATGGTGAGTTAATAATGGTGTTTTAGGGAACAAAATTGTTCTACAATACACTCTACAAACCTGCAGACAAGGCAAAGAGTTATAGTTTTTATTAACATTCTCCCCACCCCCAAACTTTCCAAGGATAGTATAAGGGTAGACAGAAACAGAATTGAGGGTATCAATATGGTGGGTATTAAGTTAATACTATTAACAATAAACTTCCTTATATCAAACATGTCTAACAGGCACTGAGTCATAAAATTTAAAGTGGAGGAGCTAGGGAAAAATACAAAAGTGAAAGTGAGGGAAAAATATTAAAATTGGAAAGAGAAAGAAACACAGAGAGGGTGTAAAAAAGTTAAAATAAATAAGCTGACTGGTCATTTTATTTAGTCATTTTCAATACATGTATGGTTGAAGGAGTATTTACTTTTGGCTATTATGTATTTACTAGTACATGAATAAATTGCAGTAAACAATGCATAAAATAACTATTAGAGTTATTTTTGTAACTAATTCTCAAAAACTAAGACAATGTAAATTAGTTCTAATTATCTTGTCTACAGAATTGTGCCCTAGTAAATTTTGTAATATAATCAAATAAGCTGAAATTTACATATGTAATATATGCTTTTCCAGTTGTATCACAATATAGAAGCTGATGACATCAAGTGATTTTTTTTAAACAAACCCTTTTTCTTTTTTTTTTTTAAAGAAGATTTATCATTTATGCATTTTCTACAAAATTAAAGAATTTTTCCATTCAAGTATATTTTCACTATGACAATTTAGAAGTTAATTATAAAAATATTTTCAGTACAAATGATAAGCAAAAAATTAGGTTACACACTTTTCTTCTATGATTAAATAAATCTAATGTACATAGACACAGAAACTACACCGATAATAATAGTAAGTACTATCTGTTAATAACGAAGTACCCAACAAGCAAGCTGATTGGTTCATAGTGAGGCTAACTGGCATATTCAGTGCCAACACAATTCTTTTCATGAGAATGGTGGACTGGTTAAAAAAAAAAAAAAAAAAAAAAAAAAAAAGAAAGAAAGAAAAAAGAAAAAGGAAAGCACTCCTGGTGGTCTTGGAGATAACATTGTTGTTTTGCTGTCTGTAGAACTGCCCTACCCCTTGCTTGTTGCAGAGTTGACCAAGTAGAAAAGATCACAATTCTCTTCTATACAAATATATGTAGTAGCATGACAATTTCCTTTGAAGGATTATGATGATAATGGTCTCCCATAGTTTCTTCTACTTTTGCAACTATACATAAAATGAGTGTTAACTATTGTGTATAGCTTGTTAATATCTTGAAATGATAAATAATATACAGGAAGGATTTTGAGAGTTTAAAGTCATGTAAACTGTTTAAATGGTTTGCTTCTATAAAACTAGTAGAAGAAGCTAGAGAGAAGAATGCAACAGAGAGAAAAAAGAAAAGAGAAGTAGGCAAAGGAGAGAAAAAAAGAAAAGAGAAGTGGTCAAAGGAGAGAAAAAAAAGAAAAGAGAAGTGGTCAAAGGAGAGAAAAAAAAGAAAAGTCTGTTGGTCAAAGGAGAAAAAAAAGAAAAGAGAAGTAGTCAAAGGAGAGAAAAAAAAGAAAAGAGAAGTAGGCAAAGGAGAGAAAAAAAAGAAAAGAGAAGTGGTCAAAGGAGAGAAAACAAAGAAAAGAGAAGTAGGCAAAGGAGAGAAAAAAAAGAAAAGAGAAGTGGTCAAAGGAGAGAAAAAAAAGAAAAGAGAAGTGGTCAAAGGAGAGAAAAAAAAGAAAAGAGAAGTGGTCAAAGGAGAGAAAAAAAAGAAAAGAGAAGTGGTCAAAGGAGAGAAAAAAAAAAAGAAGAGAAAAAGGAAAAAAAAAAAAAAAAGAAGTAGGCAAAGGAGAAAAAAAGAAAAGAGAAGTGGGCAAAGGAGAGAAAAAAAAGAAAAGAGAAGTAGGCAAAGGAGAGAAAAAAAAGAAAAGAGAAGTGGGCAAAGGAGAGAAAAAAAAGAAAAGAGAAGGGCAAAGGAGAGAAAAAAAAAAGAGAAGTGGTCAAAGGAGAAAAAAAAAAAAGAAGTAGGCAAAGGAGAAAAAAAAAGAAAGAGAAGGGCAAAGGAGAGAAAAAAGAAAAGAGAAGTGGTCAAAGGAGAGAAAAAAAAAAAGAAGAAGGGCAAAGGAGAAAAAAAAAAAGAGAAGTAGGCAAAGGAGAGAAAAAAAAAAAGAGAAGGGCAAAGAGAGAAAAAAAAAAAAGAGAAGTAGGCAAAGGAGAGAAAAAAAAAAAAGAGAAGTGGTCAAAGGAGAAAAAAAAGAAAAGAGAAGTGGGCAAAGGAGAGAAAAAAAAGAAAAGAGAAGTGGGCAAAGGAGAGAAAAAAAAGAAAAGAGAAGAGGGCAAAGGAGAGAAAAAAAAGAAAAGAGAAGTGGGCAAAGGAGAGAAAAAAAGAAAAGAGAAGTAGGCGACAGAGAAAAAAAAAAGAGAAGTAGGCGACAGACAGGCGACAGAAAAAAAAAAAAGAGAAGTAGGGCATAGAGAAAAAAAAAAGAAAAAAAAGAAAAAAAGAGAAGTAGGCGACAGAGTAAAAAAAAAAGAGAAGTAGGCGACAGAGTAAAAAAAAAAAAGAATTAGACGACAGAGTAAAAAAAAGAAGTAGGACAGAGTAAAAAAAAAAAGAAAGGCGACAGAGTAAAAAAAAAAAGAAGTAGGCGACACAGAGTAAAAAAAAAAAGAAGTAGGCGACAGAGTAAAAAAAAAAGAGAAGTAGGCGACAGAGTAAAAAAAAAGAGAAGTAGGCGACAGAGTAAAAAAAAAAGAGAAGTAGGCGACAGAGGAGAGGAGAGAAAAAAAAGTAGGCGACAGAGGAGAGGAGAGAAAAAAAAAAAAAAGGACAGAGGAGAGGAGAGAAAAAAAAAACAGAGAGAGGGAGAGAAAAAAAAAAAACAGAGAAAAAAAAAGAGAAGTAGGCGACAGAAAAAAAAAAGAGAAGTAGGCGACAGAGTAAAAAAAAAAAAAAGAAGTAAGACAGAGTAAAAAAAAAAAAAAAGAGTAAAAAAAAAGAAGTAACAGAGTAAAAAAAAAAAGAAGTAGGCGACAGAGGAGAGGAAAAAAAAAAGAAGTAGGCGACAGAGGAGAGGAGAGAAAAAAAAAAGTAGGCGACAGAGGAGAGGAGAAAAAAAAGAAGTAGGCGACAGAGGAGAGGAGAGAAAAAAAAAGAGAAGAGGCGACAGAGGAGAGGAGAAAAAAAGAAGTAGGCGACAGAGGAGAGGAGAGAAAAAAAAGAGAAGTAGGCGACAGAGGAGAGGAGAGAAAAAAAAAAGAAGTAGGCGACAGAGGAGAGGAGAGAAAAAAAAGAGAAAAACAGAGAGAGAAAAAAAGAAGTAGGCGACAGAGAGAGGAGAGTAAAAAAAAAGGCGATAGAGAGGAGAGAAAAAAAGAGAAGTAGGCGACAGAGAAAAAAAAAAAAAAGTAGGCGACAGAGAGAAAAAAAAAAAAAAGAGAAGTATGCGACAGAGAAAAAAGAAACAAAAAAAACAGATGTAGACAATAGAGAGGAAAAATGAAAAAAGAGAAGTAGGTAAGAATGAAAAGTTTGAGGCAGAGTTGGAATAAAAGAAATGAATGTAGAAAAAACAAAGAAGAAATGAAAAACTGAAGAAAAAATATCTTCAAAAATTTTTTCAACATATTTCATATTTAACTTCTCAAATGTACCCGATGCTTTGACCATTTTTAAAAATCATTTACTTTCATTTTCCAAGATTATAAAAATTTAATTATAATCATTATCACTTCACCATCTGTGCATTATTTATAATCTACTATGAATGCTGAAAATAACATGGAAAAAGCTTGTGACAAATGAAGTTTTAAAAGAGAATAGTAATTGCTGTTAATAATCAGAAAAAGATTGCTTTAATTTTAGGGGTCATTTTTTTTTTTTAACATTTCATCCCAAGATGATAACACCACTAAGTTCCACAAGCAAGAAGTGCAAGAAAAGAAACTGTTAGCAAAGAATGGTTACATTTAGCCATTTCAATTGCAAAATGATGAGACCTTGTTGTCAATCTATTACTGCACTTAAATTCATAAAGTCTAGGTACCATAGGGGAAAGTTCATCAGAACAATTATCATGAAAATTGTTATAAAAAAAGCACATGGAAGTTACATCAGCTGTGGGAAAGTGACTGAAACAGAAATGCCAGGTTAGGACCAATAACATTGCAGATTCTTCGACATAGCAGAAGCACCAGAACAGATGTCAGAGCAATATTCAATGCATGATGCATAATGAATGAATGAATGAATGAATGAATGAATGAATGGTAAACTTATAAATATATAAGATAATGTAAAGAGGAAAGAAGGCTTAACATTCACAGGACACATCAAAAGCAAGAGAAACAGAGTGAGCCAGTAAGAAACACAGTTTAATTAAATGGATGGAAGAACAAGTACCATTAAAAAAATATATATCATAAAAGGGAGCAAATAATACTGAGAGCAACAAAAAAACAAAACAAAAAAAAAAAAAAAAAAAAAAAAAGAAACAGGAAGCTGTGGAAAACCATGAGACTTTAAAATAATAAACACAAACTGTTAAGTAATGGAGGTGTTAAAAGGATTTACTATTATTAGCCGATTATCTATGCATCAGAATTAATGTAAATTGTGGTGGTGTTTTTTTTTTATATTACACCATTCAAGGTAATAAAGACACTAAGATGTAAGGGGTTACTGAGTGTGAAAGAATGAGCAAAAGAGAAACATTAAAAGGAAGTGAAAACAATAAAAGAGTAATCAGGAAGACATCAGATAACGACTGACATGACATTTAAATTTTTGAAGATCAAAGTTGGCTAGAAAACCAGAAGAGTTCCACAAGCAAGAAGTCCAAGAAAAGAAACTGTTAGCATAGAACTTAGGGTTACATGTAGCCAATTCAATTGTGAATTGACGAGAACTTGTAGCCAATCTAGTACTGCACTTATATTCATAAAATCTAGGTTCCATAGAGAAGATATCTGTCTATATTTCTGAGATGACATATTATTTACATGAAATTTATCTATGAAATCATAGACAAAGAACATCATTGGAAAATTTGTAAATTTAAGGAATCAGCACATATGCTTGACCACAAAAATCTCCTGAGCCGACCAAGCATAGAAATGAATACAATATGGGAACCAGAAATAAGGAGTGCCAGAGAAAAGCAATAACAACAACGAAAATTGCAATATGAGCTCTGGTAAAAAACATAAAATGATAACAGCCAAAATTGCAATATGAACACTGGTAAAAAAAAATGGTTGCTGAAGACATTAGGTATATAATACCCAGAAATTCACACACAGATGTCCTCATGTCACAGTGGATAAAGGCGTTAGTTAAATCCAGTGAAGGACCCAAAGAGTGTGAGTTCAATACCTGGTTAAGGCAGAGGGAAATTAACAGGAGATATCTTTTCATCAGTATGGTAGGAAGATTGGGTATAGTTTAACTGATAACTGACATCCATTAGACATGGTACGTGGAACTAGAACAGTCTACCCCAGTGAGGTTCAGTTTGACATTCCAACCACCTGAAGACGGCCGAAACGTTGTGATAGATATGGCAACAAACATGAGGATAATAGTTCGAATAATGTAAATAGTGTCCATAGAGAAGAGTTCATCCAAACAATTACCATGAAAATATTTACAGAAAAGAGACAGGGAATCTACATCACAGCAGTCAGAAAGTGAATGAAACCAAGATCCAAGTCAGGACCAATAATATCACTGATTCTTCTTTGGATTTTATCATGAATCTCTAAATATATAGCAGGAACACCAGACCATATATGGCAGCAATATTCAAACCATGACGAATGGTAAACTTAAAAGATAGAATTGTTAGAGAAAAATTGTCTAGCACAACAGTGAACCAACTTTCAAGGCAGCAGACCTAGCAATGGATTCAATATAATCTTTCCACTATCATGTCAGCCAAGACTGTAAGCACCGAGAGGTTAGTATCAGCCATGCTGATGAAAGGCAAGAAGGGGTCAATATTTCATACTTGACAAAGTATTTCCCAAAACCAGAAATGGATCTTTGATATGTATTAAAATTGCAAACTTTTACAATAGAACAAATGAATCAAATAGGCTGTCTTACACTTTCAAAATACTACAGGTTGGCTATCACCAATCTAGCAATTATTTATCTAGTTCAATCAGTACTCCTGCACTAATTTCCACAACAGCAATTTCAGGTTTCATGGGTACCACAAAGACCTGCCACTATTGTTTGGTAGCACTAACTGCTGGAGATAATAAAATCAAACAAGTACAACAATTTAAATATCTGGGAAGTGTTTTAACAGAGGACAAAAAAATGTGAGACTAAGATCTAAAGGCATATTGGGATAGCAAAAGATTCCTTTGACAAGCTAAACAAAGTATTAAGAAACAGAAAAATTTCATTAAAAAGAAAGAAAAGAGTACTAAACTTATGTAATATCAGTCCTTCTATATGGCAATGAATGCTGGACAATCTTCTCACAGATGAAGAGACTTGAAGCAACAGAAATGTGATTCTACAGAAAGATGCTAAGAATAACATGGACAAAACATAGCATATAGATACAGTATATGTAGTGCAGCAACAACCTCATTTGTTTACAAGATTCATGATATGAATTTTACATTATGCTACTGAGATTAAAGAAATCAATTTATACACTATAATTCACAATAGAAAATGAAGAATTAGAAAAAAAAAGTTTGACTTATGAATGGGTTTCATTTTTATAGGATTATAAACATTCATGATGGCAAGTTTGATCAGTTCAAGGCCAAATTGGCAGATGATCATAAAAATGACCTACAATCTGTTATTAACTGGGGTAAGAAATGGCTTCTTAATTTTAACACCTCCAAAATAAATCTATTCTCTTTTAATCATTTGAGATAAGTTTTTTGCCCTCCATCAGCATGGCTGATGCTAACCTTCAGGAGGAGGACTCCTTGCACGTTCTCAGACTAATGTTTTCCATTGACATGAAGTGGAAAGATTATATAGAATCAATTGCTAGGTCTGCTGCTAGGAAAGTTGGTTCATTGTGTTGTGATAGATTCTGGTAAGAAAATTGTCTATCTTACACAATTTATAAGTCTACTATTCATCCATGCATTGAATATTGCTGCCATATCTGGTCCAGTGCTTCTACTATATATATTTAGAGATTCTTCATAAAATAAAAAGAATTTGCAATGTTATTGGTTTGGACCTGGTATCTTGGCTTCAGTCACTTTCCCTCTGCTGCAATGGAGCTGCCCATTTTTCTATAAATACTTTCATGGTAATTGTTCTGATGAACTTTTCTATATGGTATTGAGACTTTATGAATTTAAGTTCAGTACTAGATTGGTTGCAAGGTCTCATCATTTTACAGATGTAACCATAAGTTTTAAGCTAACAGTTTCTTTTCTCGCACTTCTTGCTTGTGGAACTCTTCCAGCATCTTGCTTTCCAGCCAACTTTGATCTTCAGGAATTTAAATGCAATGTCAATTGTTATCTTCTGCCTTTTAATTTCCATTATTTTATTGTTCTCTCTCCTTAATGTTTTCTTTTTCTCATTTTCTTTAACACTAGTAACATTAGTAACTTTATTGACTTGCTAGGGGGAGAAATGATTATAAAAAAAAACATGTAAATGCTGGGGTTGTAATAATGGAAGATTATAAAAAAAAACATGTAAATGCTGGGGTTGTAATAATGGAATTATCAGGATGTTTATAATAATAATGATGATGATGATGATTGTAGAATTTAATACATTGAAAATTTTAGAATTTGCAACCTTTGATAAATAATGATTAATATTGGTTTTTATAAAAATAATCTGTGAAACAGATTTCATATTGTTAATTTATATTAGAAAAATGAAAGTGAAAGTAAAAAAAAAACAAACAAAAATCAAAAGCTTCAAATTATAATTATTTTTGGAGGGAAAAGTATTAGCAACTTTGGGCCAACTACATTTATAAAAATACCTGTCATTAGTAAGGTAGGAAGGCTGGATATTTTCAGCAGTATGGCAGGAAGATTGGGTATATTTTAACTGGATATTTTTTTCACTCATTTGCCCAGAGGCAATTACCAAAATCTTCTGTTAACTGAATGCAAGGCTTTAAAGAAAAAAAAAAACAAAAAAAAACAAACAAATCTTAATTTTTCTAATGACAAACCATTATCTTTGAACATAAGGTTTATTTCATACAAGAAAACCTGAGAAAATTTAAACAAATCCTCTCTATTTTAATTTCAGTGTTCCTTATAAATTTTCGCTTAGAAAGAATAACTATGTATACAATTTCTGCATCAGAAGGGTTTGAATCAACTTAAAATTAATGACATATAATGTCCTAATTCAGTGAATACCAACTGCTGTAATTACGGAGTGCAATTCAACCTTTGCCTTTTCCAGATTTACAACTCTTCACCAAAATAAAGGTCTCTGATATGCCACTATCCTGAATATAGAGCACTTGTAAAGCAAGCTGGTAGAAAAAGTCAATATATTAAACCTTTAATGGGAAATTCCTATTTTTCTACTGTTCAACTTTAATTTCTGAAATAAATGGAAAACATGTAAGTTATAATACCCGTTTCTGATGCTTGAATAGAACTAA